AGGAGTAATAAGCTACAGGTGTAGGCAGCTTGATCCAGGTTGAACCAGCCATTATACTTTGTCACCACCATTACTGACCCAAGCAGAACTACTGCTTATGTATATGGTGTCTTCCTTAGTGTGAATTTGAAAATGATTTTGCTTCCTGAAGTCACTTTATTTCCATATGGCAGAAAAATTGTAATATACTGACTTTGGTAGAATAACTCATTTTACTGCCACCAAATGGAAAACCATGAGAATTAAATACAGTTGACTCGAACAACTGGGGAACTTGGTGTAGTGACACCCCTTGCAATTGCAAATCCCCTTATAACTTTTGACTTTACAGTATGCCCTTGGCGTTCTCAGAGTCAACCAACCACAGAGTTAAAACAGTATGTTTGTATCTGCAGGTGGGAATACTCAGTTGGGAATTCAGAAATACTGTTTTTGACCTATGGTTGGTTGAGTCTATGAATGTGAAACCCAACCAATATGAAGGGTTGAATGCATTTATTGAAAAAATATGAGTATAAGATCCACACAGTTCAAACCCATGTCATTAAAAGGTCAGCTGTGTAGAAATGTATGAATTTTCTATAAGAATGGCACCACTGAAATAGCAGCTTTGCACCTGACTCAATCACAGTGATTGACTGAGGTGCTTGTCCATGACCTAAGTTAGACCTATCCAGGTCCCCTCCTGGGAGCTTGCTGTAATGATCTCTTTCTTTTCTCATTGCTGAGTTGGGAAGATGTGAACCCGTGGCCAAAGTTCAACCTGTATGGAAAAACTGGTTTATGAGAAAGAAGCCAATCCCCCATATGGGAATGGGATACACACATAAGACGAAAGAGTCCCGACGGTTCCAGAAATTTTGGCTCCAATTCTTTTTGAAGATATTTCTACCCTAGCCTTCTATGGTTTGGCTCAGAGACAATTTGCTTTGTTAAAGTAAGGAAAAGTTCAGTTTCTGTCAGATGGATAAAAAGTAAAAAAAAAAAGTCATGTATATTGGCTTTGAAAATTAAGTAAAATAAATTGACTATAGTTAGAAGAGAGGGTGAGAAGAGATACTGTGAATAATGTGACTTTATTATTACAAAGAGTCATGTGCAGAATTATCTAATTGTTCCTGCTGAGAGGATGTCTCGCTACACCTCATGGCATATCCACTCTGTAGTGTAGAGACCTGACTAGAGTAGCCGTTTAAAAAATACCTGTCGCGGGGTCTCATTCTTATGGGACACCCATATGTACTTACACAATAAATGTAGTTGGTTCCCTCTGTTAAAACATTTGTTGAATTAAGTTAATTTTCAAACACACAGACATGGCAAAACTTTGTTCATTTATTTATTTCCCATGTGAAATATTTATTAAACAACTAGTTTGCAATAGATTCAGTTCTTTTCACTTAGGATACTATAATGGGTATTTGTACTTAAGCTTCCAGATCACTTCTTGTTTTGTTTTTGCCATTATGCATACATATCATACATGGCTGTGATTGCAAAGATATCATGGGCAGCCATCATGCCCAAAGCAGTCGATACATAAAAAGGAGACATTCTCCAGACAAATGGAGACCACTCCACAAAATGTATGAGTCACCAGTGAGGTCTAGCTCCCAATTTGTATGCCCTAGATGTAAAACATAACAGAGAGCAAGACAACGACATAATCTTCAAGGCTTATTCTAGCTAGAATAGAAACCTTAACTGTGCTTTTAGTCTTTAGAATATGTGTGGTCTCTTTCCAACAGCCTAGAAACTGGTTAAAATGCAAATTTCAGACTCTACCTCAGACAAGCTGGATTTGATGACCTGGGCAGGAAAGAGAAGGGGTCCAGCAAGCTGTGTTTCAGTGCCAAAGGCTGAGGACCACTGCCTAGACCTTAGACCTGTGCGATATTTAATAGTCAATGTATATAAGGAGAAATTTCTAACGTTCTCTGTGCTGCATTTCACAACATTTTCTCTTCTAGATGTCATGTCCTTCTCTGCCACTCTCTACTCCGGCCCCTCAGTTAAAACCATTTAGTCAGACAAAACTGTTATTTTTCCTTTCACGTTTTCACATAATTTTAATAACATTATTGAATTTTGCAAACAAAAAAGTTCATGCAAAAGAAAAAGAAATCACAAGTCTCTACTGAGAGTGATCATATGCATATTGTCCTATGTATTAGGTAGTGTATCCATAAGCCATAACCAACAAGATGGGACAAAGTATTTTGGGAATATTCTTGAGCTCTTTATCAACTAAAAATTATGTCAGTGCCATATCATCTACTTATATAGGTTATTAGGGGTTAGATTACAGATGTGTACACACACACATACACACACAAGAATACCGGTAAGTGCTTGTAACTAAACAAACAACCACTAGATGATCTCCTATAATTATTCAATCTTTCCTACTGCAAAACTCAGAAAAAGATGAATAAAGGGACAGAAAGAATAAAATGCTGGGTGCACAATCACTTCTCTACATAAGACCTTCCTTTCCTATTTAGAAATATGTTATTCTAAGATTATAAGTGATATGGTTTGTATATGTGTCCATTTGTAGCTAGCATTAGTACATAAATTTATGGACAGGTTCATCAGACATTTTTTAGGTGTTACTTTTGCTGTTTGGTCCCCATAATTCAGCTTTGAAACATCAACTATACTTATCTTTGAGAGAGCATTGGATGAAGCAAAGGAATAAAATATTTTCCATAAGAGTACTAAAAATTAGGGAGTAAATAAATGTTACTTATGTCCATGTGTCCTTTTCATCCTGCCCCTTTGCCCTAAATATTTTTAACTTTTTCTGTACAATTTTCTCTTTTATGAGTATTTTACCCATGCCTCCTTAGTGACTGGAAGACAGTGGTAGCTACCACTGCTGGGACCTACCAGCTTTTCAATGTGGGTTTGGAAGCCCACTTTACCTTTTCCCTTTCAGTTAATTCCATACCATACTTAGATATGGATACAGACAGGTGATGGCCATTATTTAAGAGCAGATGATGTGGGTGTGGATGGTGTGTTTTAGAGTAATAATTATGATTTGATTTTTAAGCCAGAATAGTTTAGTTCATCAATAACAATGAATATCATAGGGCAACGACTTGCTTTTTTAATCTTTAGTGAAGGCAATTCATAGTATAATGGAAATATTTTAATACTGTAAATGGGTTTTTATCTTCACAATTCTTCCTTAAAGTTATTCGACTTTGAGGTCTTGGAACTTACCTCTTCACTTTTGCACAATTGAGATCAAATATTCAAATCTTGGGGAGCAGCACCTCTTTTTTTCTGTCATTTATGACCATTCACCTTTATTCAGATATGAAAAATAAGAATATCATTAAAGATCAATGTGGGCATTTGTATACCTGATAGAATTATTTTTATTGTACACCTTCGTAAAACAATACATATTTTTAAAGAATAACTTGCAGAGATAAAAAGAACTTCAAAAAAAATCTATTCTCCCAACCTCAGAGAACTCGGGAATATTACTCCTTTAACCCTTGTAACTATTTTTTCTCTTTTCTCCTCTCCACTTTTCTTACTGCGCACTGGCTCTTTTACTCTTTCTCTATTTCAATTCCCTTCCAGCAGCCTTTGTTTTCCACCTCTGTTTCCACTGATTTTTCAACGCTGTTATTCTTTTGAGACCATCTGTAAATTTCTATCTTTAGTCCTGCTGTCTCCTTCTTCTTTCATATTTCAAATATGACTCCCGAAGATTGTGTCAAAATGAATTGTTCAGAATGACGACGGTGATTGATTATGATGGACTTAAGGAACTGGGAAGAGGACAGCTGTCAAGATTTTCATCTAATAGAAGTGTGTTGGATAAACCTGGGGTGTGAGGAGCAAGTAACAGAAAGCCTTACTAAGACATGACGCAAATGGAAAACCTAATAAAATAGTGATTTGCAGTAGTATTTACTGAAGAAAATAAAACAAACCAGCCTGCCAAGTTAGTAGCTAACAACACATGAGTTTGCTACTAAGGAAATTAAAACTTGAGCTAATAAGAATGGTAGCTGCCTACTGAGAATGAAACGGAAGGCTTCCTATTACCTCCCCTCCCTGAATCCTTTGGACAGAACGGTCAGAAAGTCATTTCCTATCTATTTAGTAGCAAAAGACTTGAAATGGAAAATATATATATATATATAGAAAAAAGTCGGAGGCAAACTCTTACTCAGCTCCCTCAAAAGGAGATTCAGACAGGGTATTTTTTCACCTCCGGACAAAGCATTCATCAGCGTAGGTCAGGGAAAGAGGAAGGACAGTTAAAAACATGGAAAAAGACAAAAAGCTGTCTCAGATAAGTACAGCCAAGATGACTCATACAGTCTCCCAGGGGGGTTTTGGTGTGGGTACATCGAATTAATAAATCCACTATTAGCTTTGTGGAATCCACAGGGCTGGGCGACCTCTTTCAAGAACTCTTGATTTCATGTTTCTAGGGAGTGAGGGGTCGCTGTTGGTGCACCCCCCCCCCCCAGCAGAAGTGAGAACACTTCTTTTGAACTCTTAGTCACTTCCAGGATAATTGGAGACCTTTAGGGCATATTTCGGTCCTGGATAAACATTTAGAGTCGCTTTACTGACCCTAAATCCAACTCCGGACCGGATTTGTGAGTTTTTCTTTATTGATCTGAGAGCGAGGTGGGGATCCCGGTGTCCGCGGGCGGTGAGGCAGCGGGAATCCAGGCTGATGCGAGAAGACGCGCGGCAGCCCGCGACGCTGAGGGCAGTTCGGGATCGAGCCCTGGGGGTGGGCACGGCAGGAACTTCGCTGCCCGCGCCCTGACGCCCAGGTGCCCCGGGAGAGGTCCCGGAGCGCAGCGCCGCGGCGCCGCAGCCGACAGCCCCGGGGCCCCGCGGCCGGCCGCGCTCACTCCCCGGGGCGCGAGTGCGAGTGTGCGCGCGAGCGCCGGGCGGCGGCGGGAGGAGGCGCAGGCGCGCTGCTCGCCCGTCTGCACCGGCGCCGGGCTCGGAGCGCCGCGGCTCGGGGAGTTGATGGCAGCACCGCAGCGCGGCCGCCGGGCCGAGCGCCGAGCGCAGCCACCCGCCGCTGCCCAGGGAGCGTCCAAGATGTGGAGGGACCCGGGCGGTAGCGGTCGCAGCGGCGCCAGGGACCGGGGCGCGCAGCAGCCTCCGCTCTCCTGCCTGTGCTGACCTGCCTCGTTTGGCCCCAAAGAATGTCAGCCAAGTCCAAAGGGAACCCCCCCTCCTCCTCTCCAGCCGAGGGACCCCCGGCAGCCTCCAAAACCAAGGTGAAGGAGCAGATCAAGATCATCGTGGAGGATCTGGAATTAGTCCTGGGCGACCTGAAGGACGTAGCCAAGGAACTTAAGGAGGTGAGAAGCACAGGGGTGGGGAAGGAGTTCGTCGCCTTTTGCCCCCGCGGGGTTTTCGGTCCGTTTTTCACTGGGAGCCGCCGACTTCTTAACTCTCAGGAAACTATAGTAAGAAGCCTGCAGACGGACTTTCTTTGCTCTGGCGACTCCTGAGAAGAGTTGGTGCACTTTTTAATTTTTTTTTTTTAATCAGGAAGAAATCAACTAGTGTTTTAATCGATGGAACTGGGATGGTGGGGTGAACGCGCGCGTGTTTCGATGTCTGTGTGTGTGTCATGTCGGGGGAGGGGGATAACGGGGGTGTGTCGACAGAGGAAGACGCGAGCAGCCCTGCCGGGGCGTGCGAGACGCCCCTCTCCTGCCCTGTTTCCCCCCCGGGTCCTTTGGCGAGTCACTCCGTGCCTGGCAGCCTCCTCCAGCCCGGGCCGAAGGGGGTCCGGGTTCCGGGCCCTGGGCCAGGCCGGGGAGGGCAGCTTGGGGGACGCTGGGCTCCAGCTCTCCTCCCCGGTTTCCGAGCCCCGCTGGAAGGAAGGCGCCCTCGCTGCTGGCAAGGGGAGCCCAGACTTGGGGACGTGGAGGGGGTCCGGGACTGTAACACTTTCGCAGTTTCTGAGGCATCCCTTACCCTCTTCCGAATGTCGCTCCTAGTAACTCTGGGCCTCTCCCCCCCACCCCCTTCTTCCTTCCTCCCATCTTGTCGCCACTTGGCGTTGAACCTGGGAGCTTGGCGCATTAGTGTATGTGTGTGGTGCGTGTGTGTGTGTTGCGCGTGTGCCAGGGTCTTGCCACTAGCGTCCTGGCTCTTGGGATCCTGGACTGTTTTGCTTCTTTCCCGCTCCCCATCTATTCCTCTTCGCTGTCTCCCCCCACCCCTTGTTATCCCGATAGAAAGAAGCGGAGGCAGTGTCAGGGCTGAGGCTGCGTAAACCAGGCTGCCGCTCCGGGCGGGGGCGCAGGCTGGCTCGGGAGGGGTGGGGTCTCCGCGAGCCTGGCTGGCAGCTGGTGGAGTGTCGGAGCTGGTGGCGGAGTCTGAGCCCGGAGTCTGTTCTGCTACCGAATGGGCGCCTGGTGTGGTCCTCGGTCAGGGAGTCCGCACCCCGCAGTTTCTTCCGAGCTAAGACTAACTTCTAGGGTGGTGCTGCTGGGGGAGGGGAGGGAAGGGGTGGGCGCTTCGTCTAGGTCCAAATTGTAATCTTGTTTCTGAAGCCCAGTGGGAGGAAATTGAGGGTTGTTTGGATGCCCGGCCTCTAGAAATTAACCTCCTCTACCAGTTTCCAATCCATACGTGAGGCAAGAGCCCCTCCCTCCCTCCCACCCCCACTCCGTCCTTCCTTTCCCTGGTCTTCATTACCTCTATGACCAGAACTCTGTATTTGTTACCAAATGCAAGTCTGTCAAAATGGCCCATTCCTGGGCAGAGTTCTGTTTGTCACGGCAAATGCCATTTCTGTAGGTGTTCCGCAGACAGAACATAATCCTTACTGAGGTCCTGAGAGTGGAGATTGGTACAGGTGATAGATGTGAGGGTAGAACTTGTTCATGTTTGCGGGGCTTCTTCTCTAGGATCATTGCTTCACAGCCGTTTGACAGATGGTGAGGTTATGCATTGAAATTCAAGGCTAAAGATGCTGTTCGTTTCTTTGTTATTCTTTAATTTGACATTTTTGGCAGGCTGTGTTTTCATCCGAAACATCATGGCGTTGTAAAAATGAACAAATTTGGGCATGTTCCTTTTGGCAGAATCGTGCTTTGGAGTTGTTGAGGTTTGTGAGGTGGGGGACGACGTGGGAAACCTGCATCAACACAGTAAATACGTTACTGTGTTAGCCAGGAGGCTGCGCTTCAGAGAGGGGCAGTCAATCAAAACTCTGCTTCGGTGGCCATAGCCTTCCTTACTTACGATGTGTCACTCTACTCCCTGCTGGAGACGGAATAAATGACACGGAATTGCATATGGTCTTGGTGCTGTCTTGCTTCATCGTTCTGTAAATATTTGGAAATCAGTTAGACCTCTAGTGAAACTTTTAACCTCCCTGAGGGTCTTGTGTAGAATCACAAAGAAATACACCAGGGAGTCTATGTATCTGTTCCTTTCACTCTTTCTGTGTCTTCATTGACTGGAGAATATTTAAGGAGGGAAACGGTTTATAAAAGGAACGGAAAAGCATAGATAGTGTACAACCAAGGAATGAAGGGATCTGTCTTCCTGACAGATAGGAGATAAAATTTTGCTTGATGCTTTGGAAGTTTGGTTGGCTGCCAGGGCCAGTAGGGGTAAAAACCTCACCTGGAACAGTGACATTTGTAAGTGATAAATGGTGGGGTGTGATTGTGAATTATTTATGGGAGGATATCGTCATCCTAGGTTTGCACATGGAACTGTATTATGGTATCTGAGTCTCAAAACATCAGCCATTTATGTAATATGAGTGATAGTTATTTTGAGGACAAAAAATTTATAGGGCATATGTAACCTATGACCTTTTGCAGTTGTCCAGCATTTCTCTTTTGAAGACAGTGCTGCACATGTGACTGAGCATGCCTGTGATGTAGTTTCTAGTGGAGGAGAAAACTTTGTTAATTACAAACCTTGTTAGTTTCTATACCTGTGACTTATAAATACAAATGCCACTGTCAATTTATCTGTTTTTATACTCAATATTCTGGCAGCATGTCACTAGTATATACTAAGTATAAACTGTTCTATTTAGAATTCTAATTCCTTTATTGGCAGTGCTTTTAGGCCTTAATATCGTTTGATATTAATGAGCAGAAAACTTTTATTAACTTGTAGCAGAAATTATAACAAAATGATATGACTACATCACTATATCAGTCAATATGATATTTATTCTAATTTTCTGCTTTTTTATTCTATCTAAAATACAGTATATTTAATTTTGCATAAACTCTGCACCAACAGTATTGGGATTTTGTTTGAAGTTATTTTGAAATAGCTTTTCATTTTAGAAGTTTTCTGGGCTTTGGTCATCTGAAAATTCAGGTAGTGTGATAGATTTGGACATAATAATAGCTTCTGGGAACACTGAAATTAGTAACAAAACTCCATAATTATTTCAGGTGTTTTTATGACTAGTTATTTCATCATTATTCAGTCATTTACAATTAGATTATATATTGGAAAAACAGGAACAGGATTTCTAGAAATTCTAAAGGCCATCTTACTCTTCCCTCAGAATTTAGAAAAACCTCAAACAACTTGACTTTCAGACATAATAGGGGTCTTTTGGTCTTTTGTACTACAATGGGAAAACATAGTAAAATTCAACATATTTGTTCAGCACTTACTATATATTATGTTATTTTTTTTATTGTTACCAAGATGATTAAGTTATCATTTCTAGCCTCAGTGAGCTCAGAATGTTGGTTTGGAATGCATTTATTATGTCTTCGAACATCAGTAGTGTAAATAGGCATTACTGCCTTTGCGGCCACTCACTATGATCTAATAAGTTTGCAAAAAGTAAGCAGAATTGAGAAAAAGAGTGAGCATATGTATATTAATAAGCCAATGCTGGCTGTGTACTTAGTAGTATGATAAGCCTTTGGTGAATAGAGTAGAGGATTTTAAAAGAGGAATTTTAAGAAACCATTTATTCAGATTGCCATGATTAATTAATACAACAGGATCAATGTCTCAGAGCCAAGTGTTACAAGTAAATACTGGAGATTTTTATGAAGGATAAGATTTTGGGGGGAATGGAAGGTCAAAAAAGATATTTGATCTTTCTCTGGTATGTGGATCAGATTTGAAAAGGTAGAAAGGAGAGGGAATTAACAGGAAACAGAACCAGGAATTAACAAGAAATTAATCCATATTGTTTTTTTCTACACGTGGAAAACATTACTGGTGAAACTCTAGAGTTTTAGGGATACAATGAACTATTACTGGTTTTCAGCTGTGTAGTGATTGGTTCTTAGAAATGTAGGAAAAAAAGAGCTTTTTCAAAATAGTTGTTAAGTAACCTGACATCTGTAGGTACCAATTTACCAGTTCTTTTACAAAAATCTCACTGGAGACCTGCTTTGCATCAAATGTTGGTGTTACTATGGGATTGCAGATCTCATTAGTTAGAGAGAAATTGAAGGGTGTAATAAACAGCCTTTTATCTGGAAACAAAATTCATTGCTGATTCAGGTGAATTCTGTTTGGGTTTAGACAGATTATAACCTTGAACATTTTTCTCAGTGTTTCGATTTATGATTTTAAGGGGCAAGGCTGATCTATGGGTTGAAGATATGTATGGCTACGTCTTAGGAGTCGACATGACTCGTACATAGGAGCCAGGGAACCAGTTAATATTACTGCCCTGGCATCACTCACGGACTTCTTGGTGGGAAGCTGTGTCAGCACTGGCTGTGGCTGTGGATGGCAAAGCACCTGTGAGTTTTCATAAACAAAACCAAATTCAACTTAAGTTCCATTTTGAAAAGCTTTAAAACCCATAAGAAACAATTCATCCGAAGGCGGATTAAAACAGAATTAACAACTATCTTCAATACAGTTTTCTCTTTTAGTATTCTTTTTTAATGGTTTATCTACTTGCACTTGTGTAGTTTATTGCTCTAGGTAATCCTACCAAATATGTTTTGGTTAATGAGTCCATGCACATAAACTCAATTATTAGATCAAATTATAAAGAATAATGTGTGGATTGTTTTCCAAGTTCCAAAGTTATGAGTGGATGAAATTTCTCATTTCACTCAATTGTAGCAATAGCCGTTTTTCCTACTCAACTGTCTAACCCCCAAACTGGAGGGTATTTACCAAATGCTAAAATGCTTTTTAACTTTTCTTAAGTATGATGCTTAACCTGTTACCGAAAAAGCAGAATGGTTCTGAGAAACTGAAGATAACCAGTGACTACCTTTCAGTGATTCTATTGCAGAGGCCGAAAACCCTCGGGGACTCAGAGAATTAGCTGATGAGAAATTCCAGCCGCCTTAAACTAATAATAAATCTTTGCTTCAGGCGATAG